GCTCCTGGCATCGCTTCTGGGAGCAAGGACGCCACTAGGGGCTCCTGGCCTTACTACTAGGAACAAGAAGCTACTACTATATAGGAGCTCCTGGCATCGCTACTAGGAGCAAGGACGCTACTATGTTCACCAAACCAACTCTTCTCATTCACACCGCAGGGCCACTGGCCATGTCCGTTCCCCATCCCGTCGCACCTGTGCCCGTATTGCGTCCATCTCCGAGTCCCGGAGTTTCCGCCAGGTCACCGAGCCGGGCCTTGGGCGCTTTTTGTCCTCCAAGAGTTGGAGGGGGAAGAGTGGACATAGCAAATAACTGTATATACAGTATAAAATGCCTATGTATATATACAGTATACATATGTAGTATGCCTACCGGGCTATGTATAAAATTCTTACACGCATAGGCAAAACATGCATATTTACATACATGTGGAAAAATAGATTTACATCCTAGAACGGGTCAGCCCCTATTGGTTATGCAAGTTTGTAGAGTCAAGCTTTGTTGGCGGCATCAAGCTTGCCATAGTTCGGCACGCCAACAATGAGGCCACGAATTAAGTAGTCGTTGTACAAGTTGTGGGGAAGTTGCTCTTCAATGGGCACACATGTTCAAAGTGGGCATCGGTGGACATGGTTGGGGCATCGGTTAGGCACTCCGCTGTAAATACAATTTATATATATAACCATAGATTCTGTCGGATGCTCGTATTCAGGTACATGTCTTTTCATGTATGTAATATAGCGTACGTATACAAGCCTCTGGAGTAGATAGAATTTTGTTCAGGCTGGTTCACATTCTATCCGCCACAGGATGAGTGCATTAAATTTACAAATATGAGATCGTATGAGACCTACTAATATATAACCAAAACAACTCAACTAATGCATGGTTTGTCGATCTTTGAGGTAAGAAAGGCTAGATTTTATTCTGCGATCTTTGTCAACTCCATCATGATGAGGAGTGTAATTACTCATTTTGTAAAAACATATATTGACCAAACAAACCTCTGGTTGCGGTTCTGTCAGGCCTCCCATGATTATCCCATGCATGTTCAATCACATCAAGCCTACCAGAAACTGTACAGGCTGGAATTCGGCCAAAGAAACCAGTGACAGTGTCATGTCTACTCTATGTTATCATCGTTTCCGACTTTTCCTTTGTGTTATTGAGGTACATTGAGAAGTGCAAACGTGTTTTGCTCCGTTTAGTCGCACTGTTACACATAGAACACTCTGTCCAGAACGCGGAATGCAATTTCTGAGATCCGTGCCGCCCAACGGAATCTGGGCAAAGTTCCACCTGGCGAAACGAAGTCGGAATGTTGGACTTGCAGCTGCAGGACCTTTCCGACACAGTCTCTGACCTTGTAGAGGCTCTTCGCCTGGTGCGATGAGGAAAGCGAGCGTTTTTTCACAACACGACTTGTGTCCTGCCTTTCCAGCATCATTCTCATGTCGGCCAATAGTCCTGCAAGATTGTGGGCATTTCATCGAAATTTGAAACTTATGCTGTGGTGCTGTTCATTGACCAGGTGACCATCTGGACGAAGTAGTGTTCAAATGATTCAAGAGAACCCAGTCCAGTTGTGGCCATGGCCTTTTCCATTTGGACCCATGAAATGGTGCCTGAGCTGATGGCTAACTCTTGTGCTTCTTTGGGAAAAAGCAACGGTCTGAGACTCTGGGCTGAAGAAACGGAGAGCCATCACGGCAACTGGGATAGAAGGCACGCTCCCAACCTGATCGAGTCACACCTGATGTATTAAGGTTACGCTATGCTTAATGCAGACTCTTAGTTAATCTTGATAAAACATATGAAGAGGCCATCCAAATGGGGGATCATCAAGAGTCTACATTAATTACGCCAAGGACTCAATACAGTCAAACAATCTCTGAAATTGAACATTCTTGGGCACTGGCTCCCATCTTCGAGGATTTGAAAGCTATCCCATTCCTGTCCACTGGTCTCGTACGAGCTTCGGGTTGGGCAAGTCTCGCCATGCCAGTTCTATGAGGACTCCGGTTTGCCATGCTTCCCAGTATGACAACACACACTTGCTGTTGGCACCTCACACATCCATGGCTTAGACAATGCATTGTTTCAGTCCCCCATTGTTTAAAATTAAAGGAGCCATATCATGCCCTACAGACCCCACCCACAAGTGATACGGGCAGCAAATAAACATGAAGGGAATGGGGGGTGCGGCACGATGTGCAAGTGCCATGGCGTGCCAGGGCTGCATGTTGTAGGTCTACATCTTGAAATGACTTCCGCAGAAAGGGTAACGGTAAAGGGATGTAAAAGGCAAATGCCCTCGCAGTTGCTGTCCTTGCCAAAAATCGTTGGAATTCATGCCGTCCTTGCCGCCTGAGCTCTCATGCGACATCGCCGCGCCTGAGCACTCAGGCTGACGATGAAGAAGAAGTTCGCTCCATCCCATTGCCTGGCACATTCCATGTCCAGCTTCCATCTCTCTGTGTCATAGACTGTATATATATATATATCTCTCTCTCTCTGTATATATATATATTTATATGTAGACTCGACTTGACTGGAGGCTGGACTCACTAGGAGATGTAGTCCATGGGAAGCTACGGTATGCTAAAGGCCAACCTGAAGCGAAGCCGATCCAGCTCTTTAAGCAACGCCCGAAGAGCATCTCGTTGCCCTTGAAATCGTCCCAAGTCCTTTGAGGTCAGCCGCATCGCTGGCGTGGGGTGCCGTTCAACGTCGAATGGGCGCCGCTCGTTCGCGATCCTGGAGACACCAAGCTCCCGACCCCGCGATGGTATACCGCTTGGAAGTAAATTTGAAGCACCTCAAGTCTCACGTCCGAACTTCGGTGCTCAAAGAATAAGGAAAGCGAGGGTGAGCAGTGAGGGGAGGGGACAACAAACTATTTGTGAGTCTTCGTGGTAGTCGAAATAAGCATGGGGCCATCTGATGTCATGTCATTACTGTTAATGGATCATGTTCCAGTCTTTGGACATTCATGCTCGCCAGCCGCTGTTGATTCACAGCGAGTGTGTCGTCTTTTTCTCCCGGCGATGTTGCCGTCCTGGCAGCTGGAATCGATGCATTCGTTGATTGTCGCGCTGTTGATATAGGAGCTGTCTGTTCCGAGTGGGGGACAGTAGACAAGATTCGAACATAGTAGAACACACACACACACACACCGAAGTCACCCTGCAATGCAATCGCAATCAACAACTTTGGAGTTCTATGGTGATCAAATTGTTCTGCAACGATTTCGTTTCTCAAACTCTGTGCTCAAGTGCGAAGCTGCAGCTAGTGCTTCATGATCCTCCTGTGGTACCCGTGGCCTTGGACGCCTGAATTATATATAGAAGCCCTGAAGAATGCAATGCCAAGCCGCCAGGCCAGATTCATCAGATATTTCTGTCCCCCGCCTCCAGTCATGAGAGTTTTTAAAATAAACCTAGTCCCGAGTACCTATTAAAAAGCCTCCTCCCCAAATAAAACCACCATGTCCGAAACCCTAAGTACGGTTTATATGTGTTTTTAAATGACTGCCCTTTCAAGCCGCTATTAAGCTACCAACATGGTTGATTTGTGTTGTAGTTTTTTAAATATTAGGTTCCCCCAAACTCCCTCAAAATAGGTCCCCAATACACCCTCAAAATCGACCATGTTGCGTTGCTGACTCTCCGCTGGCTGTCCCTCCGCTGCCTGTCTGCCTCTCGTTTCTGCTGTCAAGCGGACTGTCTGGCTGTCTGTCTGGCTGCCACAAAATCTGTCCTTCAAGGTCCACAAAGTACAGCACATGCCACGAAATCTGCACTTCAAGGTCAAGGTCACTTCAAGGTCCACAAAGTACTGAACCTGCTACGAGATCTGCACTTCAAGGTCCACACGAAATCTGCACTTCAAGGTCCACAAAGTACTGCGATCCTTCCACTGACCCTATTTTGGACCCCCCCGATTTCAGGGGCTCCCTATTGGCCCCCTATTAAGAAGGTGCGGCCGAGTTTTTCTTGGTGGGGGGGGAGGCGTGTTTTTAAACAATCAACTCAATCTTTTCCATGTGGAAATTTCCAATTGGTTTCCTTGTACTTTCCTGATGGTCTTGGTGGTCAAGAGTGCTCGCTCAAACGATTGTTTTCTGGCGCTCGCCAATCACACTATCTGAAGGAAGAGCTCTCAGCCAGATGCATTTCGGTAATCAAAGGAATTCCCTTGAGAAGCTTGATGAAAGCCTTGACTTTTCGTGGCAGGTGCATGAGCTTGGAGTGGTTTTACTTCGTGCAGCTTTCGTGGCAGGCGCAGCACTTTGTGGACCTTGAAGTGCGGATTTTGTGGCGGCTGCAAAAAGCTTATGTCTGAGGACATCTGTCTGCAACACCACCAGCATGGTGCTTGAACCAAATCCTAGAAGGAGGTTCTAAAATCCTGTGACTGAGACACACTGAAATCCTAGAATCCTTGGTGCATCCATCATTTATGAAATCCAGTTTCGATCGGGTGCATCGATTGTGTATAGCATTATAGTCTTACCCTTTTTCCTGAGTGTAATGTTCCGCAAGACAAGGAAAATGCTAGCACACAAATAAACAAAGCAAGAAAAACGCCTGCAATGCGGGTTCCGACTCAGACAAATCTCAACAGTCCGACTCCGAACACCTCTGTTTCACCCACGGTTTTCTCCCACCTGCCCGCTCGCACCGCCAAGCGTAGCCGCGCGCTGCGACTCCTTCGGCGTCGGCGCTGACAACGTCGAGGGCGCCGCGTCGCACGCGCGGCCGGAAGGGGTCGGTCCTGGCGTTGTTGTGCAGCTCCGCATCACTGGGCCTCAAGCCCTGAAGAGGGGCCCAACGATTGACCCAAAATAAAGCCGAAAGATTGGGCTTTGCAGTTGACTCATGTTGACTCTCTCTCTCTCTCTCGGGGTGGGCATGACTCAAAACCACAGCCGTCGACGGTTGACATTTGCATACATTTGCCATCTGTTGACTGACCGGTGACCCAGCAGCTTCGCCCAGCAAACTCACGCGCGTCAACTGGACCTGCTCGCCTCTCGAGAGCCTGCGGGGATCCAAAGCGAATCTTCTCGAGATCCTCTGGCCAAGGCACTGCCTCGAACCTAGCATCTCATTGCGAACGCAAGTACATTGGGATGCTTCCAAAATCTCTGTGTGACAATAAAATGCCACCCCTTTGAACAGGCCCCTTGGACCCTTCTGGATGCACCAAAGAGTTCTTTCGCTTCCTACAACACATGTCGTGTGTCTGTCGGTGGGGAAGCAAGGCGTGCCTTTCGCCGGACCATATCATCCTCCAATGAGTGGAAGGTAATGATTGCCAAAAGGCCTGCATGTCAAGAACTCAGAGAACAGGCTTTTTGTAGCCATGGTAAGTACATGTTAGTATCATTTAGTACCCTCTGAAATTAGCGCCCCACTAGTGTGTGTGTGTGTGTGTGAGAGTATGAGCTGCGTGCCACTTCTTCAACACCGAGCAGTCTGGTAGAAATCATTGATTTTGTACGTCACTCGTCTGTGTGTGTCACGGCTGAATGAATGTGAATATGTTCTGGAACAGGAATTCAGGCAAGCTTGTCGCCTCCAGGTGCCAAGTTTTTCTCAGCGGCAAGGAGCAGTGATTCCAAAGCTTGAAGCTCCCCTCAGCTGTTGCAGCTTGGTCAGTTGATTCGTGGTGCTCCTCGGAAAACACCGTGTTCCTCAAATTAGCTGACCTGCACAGCTGCATAGTAGTAGACAGTAGACTGCAGGTGCTGATCTTTTTCGCTTGTGTGGGTCAGTTCACGCCATTCAATCCCTAAGCGCCAAGCCGTTCACAAGGATTCTGAGAGCTTGGAAAGTCCTGAGACGGCAATCTGCAGGCTTCATATTGACATTGCTTCGCATCTGTCTTCAAAAAGAAGCAGTTGATTAGCAGTTGAATTAGTTGAATTGTTGCCGCAACGAACGTTACGAAGCAAAGCAACCATCAGGCATGGCCTGGCTCAAACATGAGTATCCCTACAATCCTCGGGTGGTGGGGTGTAATCATGTGTAATCTGCTCCGGTGATCTGCTAATCTCTTGAGTCAAATCTCAAATCTGTTCTCTCAGCCCTGATCTTCAAGGCACCTCGTAGCCACATGAACTCGCCCAGCTGGAAGGCATGCTTGTCTAGCACACTCCTGCTCTTATTGGCTGTTTTGAGCGCTGCCCTTGTGCAGCTGCAACAATTATATCTTAAGGTTAAAGAGGCGGGCTTTGCAAAATTGCAGGAACCAGTGGGCTTGACGCAAACTCAAGTGTCCACAAGGCACAAGGAGCAGCTACGCCATCTCAGACCCCATTGGTGTCAACAGTCCTCGATGATCTTCACCGCCTGAGGCAAATCGCCATGCTGAACGCTTCGCCGGGGGATGGTGCCGCACCTCCCTGGTCCGCGCCGGCTTTGCGGCGCACAACTCCTCTGCCACGAGCTCGGCAAACTCAGGGGCCTGGTGCTGCAGACTGCAGCTTCGGAGATATCTCGCATCGCAGGACTCCGGGCCTCCTCTCCAAAGTCGCGAATGTAATTTGCAAGCTGCTTTGGCTGCAAATTCCGGATGTACCAGGCAGCTGTCCTGGCCTTTGTGTCTTCAGTGTCCTCAGCAACTTTCAAAACATCGCTGGTATGAGACCTTCTGGCCTGGACCGACAACTATTGGAATGATGAAAACCGATACATTCCCTGAAGTCACCATGGTTACGTGGATGGCATGGCCCCTTGGATGACCAATTGCCGCATACCAAACCACCTGGTGGTTTTCCACGCAACCATGAAATTCGCGCTCCTCGGAGGGTCATCCTGCAGTTGTGAGTTTCAGGGCTGTTTCCGAAAGACCTTCACCTGGTGCCCGTTCCTCTGAATCGAACACGCTCACTAAAGATCGACTTAGCTCCGTTCCATTCGCATATCCAGCGGGCCATCACCACGAAAGCTGAAGCCCCGGTCAAAGCGATCCAGCTGCGGTGAGGAAACTCCTCCGAGGAGAAGAAACGTAGAAAGCTGCAATGTGTTTCGCATATATAGAAAAATTGGCAGACCCTCGGAAGTCAAAGTTCATACCCCTAAGGTTTCTTGGAGGGAGGGGTCCTGCTAGCCATTTTAGAGTTATATAAAGTGTGCAGGCTGACCACCCCAAGGATAAAATTTCTACTTGACTTTTCTTTCAAGATGGTCCAGCCCAAGTTTCTTCATTCATCCTTTGAGTCTGTCCATCGACACCCAGCAACATGTGCCGAGTACTTCACCTAAATCTGCGAGGAGTCCATGACATAGGGGCCTGGCAGATCCGCATAACATGGGAAAAGCCACATATCCAGCAGGCCCATAATTACTATTTAATGCTTCCAATAAAGTTGCTTCCAGCACACGGATGTTCGGAATTACGTGATTCACATTCCAAAAGAGGTGTGGCACATTCCCACTGAACGTGGCAAGCCTTTCACCTGATTCTTGGAGGAGTCGAGGAAAATCGGCGAAGTTGCCCTGCACCAGCTTCAAGCCTCGTTGGCCATGAGGGCTGGCCAGTGGACATAGGATGCCATAGGCCATAGGATGCTAAAGGGTCACTAGATTCAATTGCATTCCATTGCCATTTTTAGGGGGTATTGATGAGCTCAGGTTCTTCTCTTTAGCACAAAGGTATCCAACTCATGCAAAAACATTTCGTCCTGCGGCCGAAAGCTCATTTTTCCACCGGTGGCAAATGGCCAAGCGTGAGCTCTTCTGCAGGAATCAAAAGCTGCAAGATAATGGCATCAAACAACATCATGAACCCAAATGAGGTGCACAAACGTGCACATAAACCGTTTCATTGCTCATCATCCCTTTGAATCTTGAGTCAGTTGAAGCTTGCAGTGCTCATCTTCTTAGGCCACTCTTGGCATCTTTGCAGGTGGCTCATTTGGTTCGTCCCCCTCCTGCGGAGGACTGGTGGGCCGGTGCAGGGGCGAAAGGACCAGGAGAATGGGCAACACGCAGGGCGCGTCGCTTGGCAAACAGTTTATTTCTAAATCACTTGCTTCCTTGCTTTAGGCCAAAACATGTTTCTCAATATAGTTTTTGTTGCATCTCAGGCCGTTTAAGCAAGGCATCTGAACTCGAGTACAGCTGAACATCCTTATCACCCACAACTCGATTCATCACCAGGGGGAGGCCGCGAAACCAACCAGCAGCAAACCGACCGCCTTGGCTCCCACCTTGGCTCCCTTGAAGCGTGTGATCATTGTAATGCCCAGCGGAGAGCCCGTGTCCATTGCTTCGATCGCCTGGTGTTCGACCGGTCGTGACTGGGTGACGGCCCAAATCCAAAAACTGCATTCCTTCCAAAGGGATTTACTACTAGGAACAAGCAGAAGCTACTAGGGGCTCCTGGCATCGCTTCTAGGAGCAAGGACGCTACTAGGGGCTCCTGGCCGTACTACTAGGAACAAGAAGCTACTAGGGGCTTACTTATTTATTTGTGTTTTGTTGTCATCCAGGAAAACGCATGAGTTGAAATAGAGTGCTGTCATCAGAGTGATGCTCAAATCCTGTGACGGGCACCTTTGCTCCCTCTTCCAAAGTCACCTCACCTGGGCGGGCAGACCACGGCCCTTGCGAAAAGCACCTTCTGCGCCAAGCTGCCAAGCTCATGAAGGGGGTCATGTCCCTTTGTTAGACTTCTTTCCAAACAGGAAATGATACGGCTGATGATGTTGGCCTCTCCAAAACGCAACTCTTTCCAACTGATCAACTGAACATTGCGCAAGGATCAAAAGGATTCCATTCTTCGATGCTCACAGGAAAAGACAAACGGATCCTTTTGCAAAGGACCAAAATGCCAAAAGGATCAAAAGCATCATTATCTACACTCCGTCTCAGTCACATGAACGGGGATGTTTGTAAACGAGAGTCCCCATGTTCATCCATGTTCCACGTCCACTGAGTCGGAGTGTTATAACTAGGAGCAAGAAGCTACTAGTAACAAACAAGGGCATCGCCACAAGTAACAAAGGGCATTACTACTAGTAGCATTCTTACTACTAGTACAAAGGACGCTATATAAATGATTCTTCCGCTCGGATACGTTGGACCAGCTTCTCCGGCATCAGTCTCCCGGCGGCAACCATCGCAAGCAGCACTGGCATATCTGTGGCAGCCAATCCATGTGAACCTCCATGCCGCACGTGTCTTACAGAATGCGGACTTGGGAATAAAACCTAACCTGGAATGAAACCATTATCAATCTTGATTAACGAACGAATGATGAAATACTATCATGATTCCCTCTCTCTCTCTCTCTTTTTCTCTCCATCGCATTCATGAGTACAAAGCTACAGTTTTGTGTCGAGAGAGCGTTCAAAGTTCAATGCTTGCTTGTCCTAGTTCTGCATTTCCTGGTCTTTCATGTCTCCCACTCTCATGTTTTCCTCCGCTGTTTTCCCCCCATTGTCTCAATAACCTCTCAATCTGATCTAATCGGATCTTCTTTGGCCCAATTATTGATTGCTGTCTCAATCCAAGACAGATCCAGAAAGCAATATTTGTGGAGGATTCATGGGTGGTTCGTTGCTTGTGCAGTCAGCTGTTTATTAGGTTGGCATGGGATATGCAAAATGCTACACAGCAACCAGGATTCTCGAATCTCATATAGAGAAGCCATTGCCAGCGGAGCCATACTTGCCACATTAACTATGCCTTTTCAACGCAACATGAAACATCCAGTTACTGTCAACTAGCCAAGCTTTTGGGAAATGGCAAGGGGGTTCAAGTGGATTTTGGATGAGCATGCTGCGGCCACGATCCGTTGTGCTTTCTGACTGCTTAACACTGAGGCCGCTGCCAATAATCTCGATCTCCTGGTTGGCTACCCTGCCGAAGTGAAAAATCGGTCCAAACCACTTACTGATGAGGTCTTGGCGTCATCCACAGCAAAATGGAGAACAGTCCCAGTGCAAGAATTTGAATCAACCACCTATAGCAAGTCCATAAGTACACTTCCACCATCTCCCACCCGAAGAAACAACACAAATGCTGCTCCAGCAAAAACTGCTTCAAGTGCTGATCCAATCGGGCCTTGCCATTGGAATGCAAGGCTCTTTTCCATGCAAAGGAAGCCCGACTTGCACCATGCCTTGATCATGGAACCATTGCCAAATGACACAAACATGCCGCACACCCACCCTACCCACCCTGTCCATTGAGAGCATGGGAGAGCCCACCCGGCCAAACATTTATCACGATGAGCAGAACTGGAAGTTCTGAGGAGTGAGGAGGAATGGCCCATACAACTTGCAACGTGCAAAGTACTAACACATATATAGTAATATATACATATAAAAACATGCTGCCTATAAACATACAGTATATTGTTCAGGCTTTTCATCTGAAACCTCAGCCAGGCTCTTTGGCTCCCAGGGGCGTCCACCCCTGCGGGTGCACCACACGGCATTCTCACAGGTTGCAGCAAAGCCAGCAGTATCCAAGGTTAAGTCAGCTCCGAAGCCGCCAGTGACCTGTTTGGAAGTGAAACAGCTTCCGCGGGCTTTTTCTTTTCATTCCAAAAAGACTCCAATGTTTCATGCTGAAATGAAAGTGTTCGAAGGCAACACAGGCAAAACAAAGCAAATCAAAACAAGCATCACTTCTTGCTGATCTAACACGGTAGAAGCAGCTCTCAAGCTCTCAAGTCTCACCTCTGCAACTCTTGCCCTGATGTATTCATCGCCTGCCCAACGATGCAAATCGACGTTTGGGTCTCGTGCTTCGCCCTGCGGCCCTGTTCACCGCGCTTGGCATGGGTTCCGACTGCGTCATTCCAACTCGTGCCGGTGCAAGTGAAGCACCTTCTTTGGCATTGAAGGCCTTAGAGATGCACAATGACAATCATTGCACTGCAGATTTGAATCAATTGGCTGGAACACCCAGCGGTGCTTTTCTCAATCTGGTGGCCAAGGCACGTGCCAAGCACCCAGCTCCAGTGCCTGTCATCTTGCTCTTCCAATGCTGGATTAAAGACTCTGGTTTTAAGCGGTCAGTCTGTCAATACGCCAGGAGCAAATAAAAAAACATGGACCCCGACTTACTTACTTAGGACAATACGCAAGCCAAAGCATTAAAAACATCGCTTTGCTGGATTGGTTTGCCTAGATTACAGCATAAATACAGTACGCCCTTAAAATAGAGCTTTGATTGGCATCATTTTAGTGGATCATGTTCTGGTATGGCATTCCGTTCAACCATATTGAACAAACATGCTTTGCTTAAACCACCATGGCTCTTGCTCCTGGCAGAAAAAAATCCAGGTTCCTTCACGTGAAGGTCCCAAGCCTTGTTGCATGCCTCTTCGCTGGTGTCGACGGCGAGAACCCGAACGTTGTCTCCAGCAGCTAGAGCTATCATAACCTCCATGTTCGTGAGCTAAAAAACAATCGTCGGTGGATCTACAGTAAGTCACGCTTAACGGCTTGACATGTCTTGACTATGGTGAGGACATGTTTCCCACTGTACACATTACAAACTCTCTCTCCCTCCCTCTCTGTCTCTCTCTCTCTCTCTCTCTCCTCTCTCTCTCTCTCTGGACGGGCGTTTCACACTTTTCTCAAAGGCACAGCTGAAAGGCCCAGGCCGCCACAGCCAAACACGCCCACAGTCTCACCAGACTGGAGCCGTCCCTGTTGCATCACCTTAAGATGTCGCTGGGTCTGACACTCTAGAACTCACTTGTGCGGTCCCACTATACTGATCTATACTGAACACCCCTCTGAGCAAACTCTTTGGCGTCGTTTGAACTGACAAATGGTTGAAAGAACGTTCTGGGATGTTTTTGGTTGCTCCGTCGTGAGCAATATTGGCTTTCAACTGCCAGGCCGCTGCCCGGTATGCAGTTGTCAAGCGGCAGCCTAATGCTGCGGCTTGAAGAAATGATACCTGGTCAACACCAATCAGGGTTAAACCTAACTCCTTGCTTGTATCTGTCTGTATCTGACTCTGTCTTGCCTCTAGAAATGTCAGCAAATGACCAGCCTTGGGGGGGCATGAGGCTCACATTCCGGTCAGCCCGTGGCACAGCCACAAACTCGGCGAAGCCGCCAGGCATCGTGAAGCCCGGTTGCCCTTGTGCCTGGCGGTCGCGAAGGCGGCGGAAGAACAACAGCTTGCGCCATTGGGCCTCACAAATGGTAGGCCGATTGCGGGCACACTGCCGGCAGCTGCCACAGCTGAGGATAAAAGGCACAGCGACTCGATCACCCACCTGCCACTGGTCTTTGGTGCAAATGAAGATTCATCAGGCGCATTTGAATCCCAGAATGTCACTAGCGCAAAAAGTTGAAAGACTCATCTGTGCCACATGAATTGGACTGAAGGAGATACTTGACTCCTGACAGTCTCAATTGTGCCTTCAATACGTCAATAACATTCAATAAAGCTCAACATGTCTCAACACTGTTTCAACTCCAAACGCTCAAATGCCTGAAACTTTGTCGTCCCCAAACCAAGCTTCACCACAACGCCACTCCTGCATGAACGAGGAATTTAACGAATCTAACCCTTTTTTGAGAAATACTTTTACATGCACATAGAGCGTGCGCACCTCCAAGACTAACGACACTGTGCACTATTCAAGACTGCCCAAAGCTCGGTGTAAACAAGCACGGCAATCATGTGAACGTAGCTCTGGCTTTCAACGCACGGTATGTCTCAATTATCCCATTGTTGAAGGCTAGCACTTAGCAAATCTCGCTTCCAAATGCTTCCAAGAGACAGCTCATGGCCCGGTGTGAAGGGCAAACCATGCCTGGCACACCCAAGTTGTGAGGGATGCCAAGAAACAAAAAAGAACAAAAACGAGCTCCCCGCTGCTTTCGCCCATCCATTGAGGCTCGAAACTCTGTCTCGCTGGCGCAACGACTTCCCGTCGCTTTCGCGGCCGTGGTGCGTGACGATGTCACTGTCAAGACCCTTCCAGCCATGATAGTCAGAGCGGCAAACCCCACAAGCCTGGCACAGACGGGCGTGGCGGTGTGGCAGCAGCGCAACGCAGAAAACGCGAACAACCGGCGGAAGAAGCCGTTAAGCAAACTAAAATGACTGAAAACCTTTCGATGGCTTCCACCTAGAAGCGATAGCCTCCAACCTAATAGCGATGGCCTCCAACCTAGAACGAGAATTTGAACAGGAGTCAGGCTGCCACCGCAGTCATCTGTGATTACAGTTGGGGACTATGTGAAACAGGCCAAGCTCATAGGCAATGATCCGACAAAGCAGGAATGGTGGTCTGAAGCTGGAACAACGAAAGCTATTAAACAACAACGCAAACTGAGTATGAATTTAACAAAAACAACTTGCCAGCTTTGACAAAATAACTGGTGTTCGTGGCTGTCTTTGAGCTTTCGAACATTGCCCATCACTATTATATCTATTATGCTGCCAAGGCCCAGGCAGACAAGCACACCTTTCCTCCCAAGCATATTCTCCTTCGGACAGCTGAACACTGGCACCTTGACCCTCAGCAGCAATCCACCAACGGGAGCTGTAGGCTTTGGAACCTAGCAACACCCAAGAAGTCCCAGTTTCTACACTCTTCAAATTTCACATCATCAAATTTGACAAATCTGGCTGTTCATTCACAGCTGGACGTTGAAGAATGTGGATTTTGACCCAGTTGATGAGCACGCCTCCTGGACAATGATGGGCCCAGAGAAGGTGGTGTAAACAGCAGCTCGCATCGTCGCCATGGCTTCCAATGTGCGGAACCGTGCCTGACATGCCTGTTGACTTTGGAACAGTTGCTGGCATTCTGAAACCTGACACACAAGCGTGATATATCGTGATATAATATACTACATTACTACATAAATATTTTATGTTAAACATATTACTATATTGTTCTAGGTTAAACATCATATCGTCCGCGTGGGTGAGAGAGTGATTTCTGGTCCCCAAATGTCAAAGCATCAAAAACAACACTTCTACTTGACAAGGCCGGTTTAGCAACTATATTGGTGCTAAATCGCACCTGTGAACAAACATGAACAAATTAGGGGATGTGTACCTACAATCAACTGCTAGATACTGCTACGGTAGCAAATATGTGTACCTCATCCACACCTTGACATCTCGTCATGACTCTTGGCTCATACTTTGGGCCACCATGGGTACACAAGCTGCCTTGGTTACATCGGATGGTAGGCCAGTGGCCGAGTCATGTGGGGTCCGCACGATCATCGTGCGCCAGGGGTGCCAGGCGTCTGGCAGCTGCTTGGAGCGCCAAGGAATCCCTGTCGATTCCAAAAAGCCTTACCTCAACGAAACCGGTCAAAGATGAGCCAGGTGCTAAAATGCTACCTGCTACCTTCAAAACACTAGCAGGCGGGCCCTGCCCAAAGGTGTGCACAATGAACTCAAAACTCGGTGGCTGAGGATTTTGTTATCTTGGTGCAGAATTTCCACTTCAAAAGGGACAAACCCGCCCAGGTGCATGCGGCAAGGCTTCCAGGAGGGCCTGGGGTCCGTGCAGATGCAAAAAAAGGCAAGCACCTTCCACTTCAGCAAGTGTCACAAGGCCATCGCATCAGGGCCAATCGACCTCCATTGAAGACCTCTTGCTACACTGAGATGCTGATGATGGCCTTATGTTATCTTATTTTCACACTGTGATATAGCCAACAAAAAGTGGTTGCTGCTGGCCTGGCTGTGACCAGCACCACCAAGAGTACCTGAGTGGCGCCGCTAGAAAAAGCAAACAATTTTGATGCCTAAGTGTCAAGGAATGTTGAGTTGTTATATGTTCCTTTCAAACTCCTGCGCGACCTTAGTTCAAAAGCTGGTTCCAGTCTGGGGTACATACTCACAAGCTACATTCTCATGTCATGGTGCGAAGCGAGCACTTCGTACAGATTCTGCTCACTGATTATAAAGGAGCCCAGCACATGCTGCACCACATGAGTGGTGCACAAATCGCAAACAGTCCCAAGGTCCCACACAAGCGATGTGACGAATCCGCCGAGTTGCAATCGACCACAACAGCTCCTCGTGGCAGCTGCGCTGCCACAAAGGCTTCGGTCACCTGGTGTTCTGCTCGAATTGATGCAAAATCCGGCAGTGTCAAAACAGGGACATTGTGGTTGACCAAAAATGAACGGTGCTCCAGGTTTTGACCCACAGCCACTGCCAAGCCGTGTGGGCACAAACTCTGGTTGCAACTCCTGGAGTTGCACATCGTTCGACTAGAAATCCCATGAAATCCCGGGTGTAGCTTGACCCTGGACATCTCCAAATTACATCACGAAGACGAAGACATCCTGGCTGAAGATCTGAAAATCATGAAAATATGGTTGTTTCTTTGTTCCCCAGCACCACAACTTGCCTGCAATATCCTGCAATAAGCTTCTAGGATCTGCTAGGTCCTCCCCCAACCAACCTCCTCCAGCAACACTGAGGTGTGCTCGAAGCTCCCATCGCTCGCGTCGTCCGCCTCGGCGTCGGGTTTGCACACGCGACTTGCTCAACCCTCGTCACCGTGGAGGCACGCCTGGACTTCGCCACGACATTCGGGCAAGGCTATCGCGTTTGGTGTTGGCACCTGAGAAACTGGTGGGCTGCGCGAATAGGAGTCAACGCTGACCTATAGCATCCTGTTCAATCCACCAGTCCAAAAAAAAAAAAACAACACATGACAAAACATCACACCAAGGAAACTCTGATCACGACATGTACTGCAGGAAACTAATCACGTCCTCCTTGCCTGGACAGCATGCGCCCTTGCAAGTCGGACGGCTGCTGAGACTGCGCGAGACGCCTCACCTGAAGGGAGGGTAGTGCGATGGCTTCTGGAAAACCCATAAGACACCAGTACACTCTGACAATAGTCCGAAAGACAATGTTCCCTGCTCCACCAATCAGCTTGAAGACTTCAGGCAAATTCAGCCCCGGACACAAAAGCGCATAGAAATACGCAAAGCATCGCAAAGCACCTCTTAAACCTCGCAATCCTACATGCTCCGACCCGTCGAATAACCATCGACTCATGACTCACACTGAGTCCAAGGTGCAGCAAGCAACGACGACCCCAACTGCAACAGGATCAGCTGGCCAACACTTGCTGCGTTCCTGCCAAGTTGACCCTGGCTAAGGCCAAGGGAACCCAAAGGCTTCATGTCAACTGCTTACTAATCAACTTCCTCCTGTATATTAAAATATGTGGGAGTCGGAGTTTATTCATCAATAGTCAGTCAACAATAACACAAAGTGTGTCGAAAAATGGCCGTGACAAAGCACAAGTTCTCAAAAAAGCACCAGCCTGTAGCAGGCTGAGTGACAGGGGCCAGTGGCCAGACGCCTGCATCCGGGTGGATGATGCAGTTGAAACAGAACTCCAAACCGCGCGGCGCAGACGGTTGGCAGGTGGCCTCACATTGAGTGATTGCTCACTCTGTTGGTCTTGGATAGGCATCCTAAGTCCAAGATCCTGATGAACCATCTTTTAATCAATGCACATCCAGATTCGAGCAAGCGCAAGGAAATCCAAACGCCCCTCTGGCCTCCAGTGCGCCCAGGACTGTGTTGAAGGAGATTACATCTGGCTGGATACCTTCGGTGTTTTGCGCAATTGACTGAAGCAAACTGGGCACAGCCTTTCTTTCACCTGTCGTTAGAAATTGTAAGTGTTAGAGTCAGTGGTCAGTATTTATATATAGGATTTTATAGGATCCTTTCTGAAACAGCTTGGCTCCCTGATTGTCTTTGACCTAGCTTTGCAATTCCGCAACCTGTATCAGCCTATCTGAATTACCTTTCGGATGCACAATGTCGGCATGCTTTGGCACACCCCACTACACCTGCTTGACGCATCTCTTCAAACATGTGCACTGCCAAGGGCCAGCAGCTGACACGCTCACAGGCGTACCTCTGGCTAAACACACACACGTGCTCGGCACCAGGCACCGACCCTGTAGCGCTCTGTGGGAGCAGAGTTTTTAGAACCTCACCAAATGGGATACTAGTAGCTTCTTGCTACTAAAGTAGCGGGGCCCTTGTTACTAGTAGCCATGCCAGGAGCCCCTAGTAGCGAACATTAGGAACGCAATCCTAACCTGAAACTCACAAAGTGGGCCAGGGCTGCCAGGGGCACATCGCAGAGTTGAAGCTGATCCTCGCTTCACAAGGTGGCGACTTTTGATAGCTTAGCTAAGGCTTAGACACACAACAAAGCTTTACAGCATGGTGTTACATGACTTGCTTCATTCCAGCCACTGTTGGAGTGGCTTGAATGTTAACCTTGATCTGCATCCTTCGGAAATGCATCTTACCAGCACTTTTTTGGTGAAGAAGTCCTGTCTCGCTGTACTTGCCAGTTCTCGAATGAGTCGAAAATGGATAAAGCCTGCAGCTCTGACTGGGCTGACAAAGCAGCACATAGCAGCTGCAAAGAAGCAATCAATCAAAACAGCACAAATATATATATATATAGACTATATAGAGATATAATTTATAATATGTATATATATATAACTATATATATTTGTAATATCAATTTATGATCTTTATTCAGTAATAAAATTGATAAACACATGTACATACATCCGTATAGATTCGGGTAATTAAGTGGCACTCAAGTGGCGAGCAAAACATCTCGCCTCTTGCCAAGCTTCTGCTCGACTACAGCAGGACACGAGTGAGTTCAGCGTGATGACATCCTCGGGTCGATTGGACATTGAATGGATCACGGTGAAAACGCGAACGGGACGATCCAAACAGTGCCGCAAAATGTTTACTAGGGATTCGTCCTTGCGGACATGAATTGGGCCTCATGTCGGCATGATACTAAGTACGTGTGGTTGCTGCGCCTTTTAACCGCAAAGTAGGGCGGTTTCCGAGTTAAGTTCCCGGCAGCTTGCAAACACGCAGCTGACATCTCATCAAAGCAACTGCAGCGCGGGTTGCGGGTCACGAGGAGACCCATGAAGCAACATGACCAAAACACCAACGCAAAAGGCATGAGCCAGTAAGAGAAAAACCATGCAAGCAGCCAGCTTTCATTCGCGACAGTCTTCGCCAGCTCTTTTTGACCAAAGTCGAGGCAATTTGGTGCTTCTTATCATCTAGGCAGCTAGGTACCATCATGTACCGTCTGCTGTTCTTTGCTGTGTCTGACTACGGAAGTGTCCCACTATGTCCCACTGTTGAATGTTCTCATAGATTGACATAGGTGGGGGCCGAACGGAATTGACTAAATGAGTGCTTCAGATTCTGGCGCTGTTCTCGCTGGAAAGGACCCAAGCATGATCGTGCGCAATTCACACGTCGTTGAGCTAAAACCACCTTAGTTCACCAATCCAAACAAATGGAGAAAGGATCAGCTGGAGAGAGATAGCAAGAGTTAGCTGGAGAGATCGCAAGGACTGTGCCAATGAGTCAAACAAAACATGATCCTCCGATGAATGCTTTTCCGCGCCAAGGTCCTCGAGTCCGGACTGAAAACAGACTCTCACACTGTTGCACGGATCTTCAACTTGTTCTTCCGGTGGATGCGAAGGTCAACAGGTTAGGGCCGGGGACCCATCGAGGTATCCGTTCCTTGCATGTCCTCGTCATCGCCGCTGGCGAGAAGCCGCGATTCCAATTCTTCTCTCAGCTGCTTTGCAACATCCCGATCTCGAGAAGGAATGTAAAGCCTTGGTGGAAGAAGAATGTGGTCTTTGGGCATCTCATACTCCCATTGACTCAAGTATGCCGCAAATCTGACATATAGCGAGACCCAAAGCCAAAAGAATCGATCAAGAACTTCCATATCTACATCTCCCTCTATATATATATATAAACTACTGTAACGAAATAAATCTATATATAGTATTTTTTGAACTCATTGTGACCTCTGTCGACTCGCTCCCTGCCCACTTTGCTCAACTCCCACCAATCAGGGGCAAACCATGATGGAAAAACGTTGAATTTCAAGAGTACCAGGACGCTTCATATTGTGGTAGGAGGTGAGGGCCATTAGCATCGTCACCACAGTGCAGTACATCATGTGTACCACTACATCGTGATCATAGACCGGGCAGGGTACATACTCTCCAGAGGTCTGCCAGCCACCATATGGAAGCAGAATAGAAGTGGAAGTCTTGGGCACCATCACCGTGGGAGTCGAGAAATGAATCGGAAGGAAGCTCATAAAGACTTTCAGCAACGGCAGTTGCAAATAGATTTGTCCAACACCAGCTTTCTTCAGGACATTGTACTTCTCCTTCCCCAGGTCTGCATCGGCCTGACAGCACTGCTAAGCCGCTATGCGTTTGCTATGCATTGCTGGGACCCCTTTCGGATATCTGGGTGGGCTACAGTGGCTACAGGTTGCACCAGGAAATCACCAAAGATTTGATTAAGACAATTGGACGGCTTCTTAATTATGAATATTATATATATACACCTGAATCAGCTATTTCCCAGTCTACACAACCGTAGCAAGTGATATTTCCCTTTCAAAAGGTATGCGGCAAAAGCCAGGACAAAAAAGCTAGGAAGAGAGTGAACTCACTGACTCACTGGGGGCTGGGGGATAGGAAGCACTGTCACTATTGAACTCTTTCATAACCTTCTGTCACGCGAGTTCTGCACGTGGAAATGCAAAGGCAGAAACATGTGCTCCACAGCACATCCAGAAAAACATGAATTAGACTGCTCGGAGCATGACCCTGATACATTCATGCTGGCTCAGCCGGTCATTGGGCAAGGCAACAAATATGAGGATGCTAAGTGGGAAACGGAGCTGCTCCGCACACACCTGGTTGTATAAACAAAAACACCTTCGCGCTAGAACATATGCAACCCCCAAAAAGTAAAATACAGTAATTGTGGAGCAAGGTTTGGTTGTACATTCACCCCAAAGAACTGGCAAGTAGACAACATGATTGCATGGTCGCTCCCTGAATCTGGCCTCACCAAGTGCATAGGCCACGCCATTGGCTATGATGGAAAGACCAGCCGTTCCGACAAATGTAGACAGAATAGCGAACACAATGAGGATGACCTGCAAGCACTGTGACAGAGTGCAAAGGGGCGCACAGCCTGGGAGTTTGAAGCGACGAATGACTTGATGAAGTGTCTTCTTAATATGGCTCCCAAGACCTAACTCTACGACGCGACTCCTCGAATGCATAATTTCAAGCCAACAAACATCTTGACACTCCCACAAAACGTCACCGTGCTAAGGTGCACAGGCCTGCATGCTATTTCCGATGGGCTTTGGGTACACGCACCAGCCCCCAGGGAGACGCTCCACCTGCACTGGCAAGCTATCTTGTTGCGTTCCGGTTGCTTCCGAGTGAGCTACTCGATGAACAAACTGTTTCAGAAAGCCATGCTTTGCCGCAAAGCTAGCGCGAACTACAACAAATCGGTGCATCCATGAAGACAACGCAGCACACCGATCGTTCCTGTGTTGGCACCATGCTGACGGCCGCTTGCCAGGTGCTCAAAATCACATAGCTCCAAATAAAAAATGCCACCACCTGAGACAGTGACAGGTCAATGTCTGCCGATTGCCATGGTAAAGTAACTCACATCCAAACCATGCCGCTTGGACGTGTCTCGTGGATACCTGGATACCTGAGTTCCCCGGCCCGGAATGCGAAGCGGAGATCATGCAGTTGCAGTCTGTGCGGCTCCTCGCCGAGGGAGCCATTATTCGACAAAGAAGGAAACGAACACAGCATTCCCAGGAGTAGATTCTCACATGATTCCAACACTGAAACTTGTAATTATCTCTCCGAAAGCTTCAGCGTGTTGAAGGAATGCCAAGCAGTTCAAAATATCATGTTGTCGGCACACAAGTTTCCCTTCCAATGCCCTCAACCTTGCTCCAAAAGCAGCCCAGCGCGGGAAGCATGTCGTTGACACCTGCAAACATATTTCACCCTCCAATCAGCACTACCAGTGCCTTCGATGTTCTTCCAAAATCATCACATCCAACTTTTCATGTTCCAACTATGTATATATATATATATTTTTTTTTTTATAAATAGTCCTGCTAGTCCACAGTCGCCGCCATCCGAGCAAAACAAGACCACCCCATCCGCCTCCGCACAGGGAGCCACACCACCATCGTCTCTTAGGCACCTGCTTCACATCATGTCAACCGATGTTGGAGTCAGATTAGTCTATAAGCCCCAATATAGCCTAGTTGTCTATTGGTTGTGGAGGCCGATTGTCATATTATTTACCTATTGATTGTACACTTGGGGTTATCCCTTTGTCCCCCTATTCTTCAATGAACCAATAGTCAAGGGATGTCAAAGGCAATCACTGCTGACATCTGTTGAATTCTATTATAAATCTAATTATTCCGTTGATTGAATGGTGAGAAATCGCATAGAATTGTGGCACTCAAACGGCTCATGTAGCAATCGTGGCGCCGTCACCACCAGCCTCATTCCGGAACAAGTCAGCAAAACCAAATCTTGTGACACTTCTCACTGCGATATGAGAATAAGCATTTGCCAGGCACGTTGTAACATGCGAGCATGCACAGAGCAAGCTTCCTTGCGCACCTTGCGCATGAGACGCCTTGGCGCTGGTGGCTCCCCCAAAGCTTGGAGAAAATACCTCGAACGGTGAATGCAAAAACATGAGTAGCAAAAGAATGGAAGAGTTGCATGAACAGATTCTGGTAATTTGGCAGAATGGACAAAATACACGGTCAAACAGCCTGTCAAACACATTGTCAGACTTGAACTTACATAAGTCATCCGTTGAACGCCTCTAAACCTGGCAAGTATATGATCATTATATACTTAAATATATAGCAGTCGCAATGACTTCAGTTGGAAGCGAAGGCCGAAGGCCCAACCCCGCCGTCTTTGCCCAACTATTTTTGCCTGCGCTCAGTTGCTGCACTAAAGACCCAATGGCAATGCAGGAAAAGATGGCAATTAGCAGTTCCAGGACAAAGCCAAGTGCAGGCACCCAAATGCAGGTGTAAGCCACCTGAGCCAAATGTGGATAACAACTCTTTCACAAATTCACCTTACTCCCTTCAGTACACAAGGCCATTGATTTCCTGCCTTCACCGCTGAACTGCTAGGTATAGAATGATCTAGATTTCAATCGATGTGTCGTGTACACACACATATATGTTTAACGTGTCAGATATATAGTTGACATGTTTAAACATAGTATTTGCACCCTTGCTGCACATGACATAATCAGTCGACACAGCGAAACGCTTCAATTTGTGTTTTGTCATTGCAAGTGGCTAGCAAGCTTTAGGCCAAACAAGGTTAAGAACCAGGACCTTTACATAGGAGGATGCAAATGGATGCAACATGCGTGGAGTCTTATTGAGCCGCACATGGCTGCAACCGCTAAGTCCTATTGTGTTTTGCCGCTGGGTTCGGCAGAATTGTCCGGGCGAAGCTGCTCCTGCAGTGAAGATTGGCAGAGTGCCTCGGCGAGGGCACAGCATTTCGCAGCCCCATCAGTCGCTCCTCAACTAAAGCCTATATGATGGATGTTCTGCAGAATGTCAAGAAAAGAGACCTATGACTGGGATACATCCAAATCAATCTCATCTCCATCAACATGAGTTCCTACACTGACGACTTATACAACCATCGGCCATGCTGCTAATTGCCATTGCAAGCTGGACATTCATGGGCGTCACCGCATGACCTTCTCGATGCAATGTTTGTTCTAGTGTCATCTGGTCCTGGCCGGTCAAACGTTGAAGACTCGGTCGGACGACGGAGACCGGACGTCGTCTCAGCGATGAATTCAAAGTTGCCTCCTGACAACACCTGGACACTAAACCAAAGAAGGTCAAAAGAACAAAAGTGGACCCCGTTTGAGGTTTGCAATCTTCATGCGACAAGTTGCGTGAAACACATGGTGCAAGGAGAAGGCCGTGGTGAGAACTAAGCCCAAAGAGCCCAGGAAGCCAGCGATGTGAAAGATCCGCGGTGCCTGCGAAAAAGAGAAATAGCGGCGGTGATCGGGCGCACCGTGACCAGGCAATTGTTTCGCGCTGGACAGAGGGATTCTCTGTGCGCACCTCATTGATGTGGTCGTAGACATAGTAGCCATAGAGGGCGTTCAATGGCATAAGGTCAAAAGGTATGGAAAATCACGAGGGGTTCAGTACGTGAAACTTGCATTCATTGCTTTGAGCCAGGCTTTGGGCATGCCGAAACATCGTCAAATGGAAAAAGAAACACATCCAAGGCCATCATTTACAACCCTCCACATTTGGATCTAGTTCTATGATGTCTTTATACAGCCACATACTGCATGGGGAAGGCTTGCCATGCCGAGGAGGAAGCCAAAACCCGCCACTTGCAACTGATCTCTTCATTGACTGACTGAGGCTCAAGCAGGCTCAAGCGATCAAGCCAAAAAGCACACACTCGTCTTTGCGCCATGGCTTGCGGATAGTGGAGGTCTCACTTCCTTTTCAAGTTCAAACGCCACTTCGAGCTTCAGTGCTTTGGTGCCTTCATGCCAGCTTTCTAACGCACATGTTTGGTCATCGGAATTACTTGATGATTTATCTATATATAGCGATATTTAGGGTCTTCATTCAATGTCATGACGTCTTTTATCGTTTACAGCGTTTCGTACATGCACGCCATAAGCATCGTTTTGCAGCTTGCAGGTGTTTCTTTTTCTCACATTGGCACCCAAGGAATATAAAAATAGGGGCGAGGCATACACCGTCCCTTTGGACATCCTGTATCAAGGTTTCCCAGGTCAACTCACTAAAACCGTCTTGGTTGTAAATGAGCATGAATACCCCTCGTAGAAAGTATTTTGATACATTATTAATCATATTGAATTCATATTGAATACAGTAGCTACATTCGCTTACCTTTGCCAGGCTGCTCTTGCTACTCATGAGCCGCCAAGACCAGTCGAGCTTGTTCCCATGGATCTACGCCTCTACGCAGCTTTCAGTTTACACATTGGCCATCTAGTGAATCTAGAGGTCATCTGAATGGCACAGTACGGGACATCAAGGAGAATGCCCACCCCATGGCCTTGAATGACCCCATCGGCCCCTTGGGCCGGCCAAACCGCTCAGTCATGCCGAGTCAGTGACGTCACTGCAAAGGCAACACAATTCAAACAAACAAGCCGGCTGTGCCTAAGCGCCACCTCCCATTGTCGCGCCTGTCATTTTTCTCAACACCCCGACAGGGAAGCATCAAACATGCCTGAGGCGGGCAAGTATATATATATATATATATGGGCTCGCACGGGCCAAGGCCTAACAGGTCCACATGAAGGCTCATGCACGTGGCATCACATCATGTGGCACATTCTTTTGATGCTCGCTCATTCTCCGCTGCTAGTTTTTGCAGTGTGCCCCCACAACAACATAATTCAATTTCAAATACAGTAAGTCAGTAGTCTAGTAGTGTCCGTGAACCAAGCTGGCACTGGACATATCAGTGCTCTCGATGTACAACAAGACTTGATGTGTGTGTGTGTGTCACCCCTGTACCAAAGGGTTACTGCCACGGTTTTCCATTGCAACCACCCCACCAAGCAGGGGGGCAGAGAGGACTTGCAAGGCTCTGCCCAACGAAGCTCTTTGCAAGATCCTAGGAAGCGGAAGCTGATCACTTCCGTGTACCTGCTCGTTCTCTCGCAAGCTGTTGCCCTACTCTTCCACGGTTTGATTCATGGTTCTTCATGATACGTCCCTCAAACCTTCTGCCGCTTGTCCTGCAGCTGAGCCGCGTTGATGTTCGCCACCGCAGACATGTCAACAGATTGTTAAAACCATACAAGTGCGCTGACCCTCTCACCTTTCCGTTCCCTCGCCATTCTACCTGGGAATTGAGTGTAACTGAAAACCAATGTCAGAGTGTGTTTCGCTCAGCCGTCCCACTCGGGTGCTGAGTGTGATCCCCGTCCCTTGGGCGCTGAATTCACTCCGGAAATCGTGTAACTGAGCTTTTCCACCCTCACCGGAATCCACCACTGGATCAACCTTAACTGAATTTACTGCCTCCACGGCCGCCGGGCCAAAAAACGGGACTTCAACAGATTCCACCCTGCATCGGTTTTGTATCAGCTTTGAACTTTGCTTTTCGTGGTTTCTTCCTCAAGCTCAGCGATTTGATTCATTCCGACCGCTTAATTCGACTTGCATGGACTTACCACCTTCCACACTTTCACAACAGGAATACGTCGTGGCGGACGATCCATGGCATGCAGACAATCACTGATTGCACCGCAGCTTTGTGCAGGCCACAAGCGCCTCTAGCTTCGTGGATTTGTGTCCTTACTTGATCACATCGACCCCCAAACGACACACCAACAACCCCCGGGCAAGGCGCTGATGCTGCTGCCACTGAGCTTGTGAAACTCTACGTCCAAAAAGGGCACGACTCAACAGCTTGCAGCCGGTTTTTGAAAAAAAAGCGCCGATCACGGCGATCTGTGTGTGTCATCCCCTGTACCAAAGGGTTACTGCCACGGTTTTCCATTGCAACCACCCCACGAAGCAGGGGGGCAGAGAGGACTTGCAAGGCTCTGCCCAACGAAGCTCTTTGCAAGATCCTAGGAAGTGGAAGCTGATCACTTCCGTGTACCTGCTCGTTCTCTCGCAAGCTGTTGCCCTACTCTTCCACGGTTTGATTCATGGTTCTTCATGATACGTCCCTCAAACCTTCTGCCGCTTATCCTGCAGCTGAGCCGCGTTGATGTTCGCCACCGCAGACATGTCAACAGATTGTTAAAACCATACAAGTGCGCTGACCCTCTCACCTTTCCGTTCCCTCGCCATTCTACCTGGGAATTGAGTGTAACTGAAAACCAATGTCAGAGTGTGTGGGGGGGGGCAGAAAGTGTCGGAGCGGAGGCCCAAAGGAAGATGTGGCGTCCAGCCAGGCTTCGTCCTGGGGACTGGAAAATGAAGTTGGCTCTTGGATGTCCAGTCTGCAATAAAGGGCGCCAAAGCCAATGGCAGCATGATCGCAACCCTTCCAAATACATTTCTCTCGGAAAATCTTCATTGGCCCCACCTAATGCTAAAACGTAACATACCGCATCCAATACCCCAAAAACAACTCCCGAATTGTTCACCAAACTCCAAAGAGCAAAGAGCAACATCGTATCATCTTGGACATCCATGAGCAGTTCCCTCTGCTGCAACAGCCGCTTGCCCAGCCGCTTTCTGAAAGCGCTTCTTCAGACTGTAGGATGACAATCGTTTATCAGGTTGCTGCCCCTAATCTGCCCGCATCAAATTGCTCAACGCAGTAAGAACCAACTTGATTCCAGAAGTGTGGATAGGCAAAGCATCTTCTACCGTCCAACTGTTCGTTGACGCTCATGGGGTCGAAAATTTTGGCTACAACAACACGTTGACTGCAAAGACTATGACCCGACAATTTGGAGGCACGGGCCAAATCCCCCTTTGCTGATTTCTTTTTTTGGAAGCTGGGATACTAGCTGGGGTATAAAAACACCGGAGGGCTATAGAGTATATATAGAGCCAAATAGGCCAATAAGGGGATCTGACAAAGCCCACTGTCCAAGTGCACAGCTATGTGCAACACCCATGCGCTCACGCTTTCTGCGAGCGCTCAGTAACATTGTGCAGGAAGAGTGGGGAGGGGGTATCATGTCTCGTCACAACACAAATGTGCCGCCAATTCAGGTTGCATTTTGGTTCTTGGAACCAGGTGATTGTGGAACCTGTTGGTGCCAATGAACATTTGTTTTCCATCGTTTTCCGACATTGCGTAATGACAAACTCTCTCTGGGGCCCAGTCTGCGGTGAGGTTTCATATGGTTTCATCATGTTTTTGGCCCACTCGTGGACGTGCGCGTGGACTGGCGAGTCCTGCACCATGTTGGTGACACAAACCTGTACGGGAAGCACATCGTCGATGAGTGAGGCAAACATTTATTGATAATTATGCATACATATAGATATATATGCTAAAACAACACAAGGGGAACAAATGGTGAAACATACCATCACCTTGCCTCAAGTTAGCCATAGTGGCTCCGCATTCGAACATTCCGACTGGAAGCTGAGCAGGGTGCAAGAACGAAAAGCACCAAGCAAAGCAATATCTCAAACACAGCATGCTCAAGGACTCCATCGCCGGCTATGCACCCATCCAGTTGGCAAACTTCAATCTAGCTGGTGAAACGCTCATTTTACTTGGAACACTGAAGGCCAACCCTGGAGGCGAGAACACTGCTTGTCTTGGTCAGGTCAAAATATGGCAAAACGATCATCAATGGTTTCTTTTGCTTAGTTTTGCTGTCTCTGGAGCTGACCATCAGCAATTATAAGTGAAACATGTGGAAGGATGAGAGCTGCTTCTTTTGACATATATACGTTTCATTTAACCGCCTAATAGCCTCAATGTATACTTATATAGTTTCAAGGCCTGGCCTTGAGTATCACACGTTGGTCCAATAGTCTCATATAACTATACAATGATACGCTCAAGACCGCCGCTCTTTCTCAAAAAACAAAACAAATCCATCACAAGAATCCACATAAAAGCCCTGAAACTTCCCAGGGCCCAACGCAAAGCAACTTGAAAGCAGCCTAGCCCTCCACAAGTTCCATTGACCCTTCCTCAGAGGCTCGCTGCCGTCTGAGTGCCACAGTGAGGTCTTGCTCTAGACGAGGAAAGTCAAACCTGAGTCAAAAAAAATCAGCGAGCTGAGACTGTGACTGACATGCCTTGGGAAAAAAAAAACAATGGTAAAACAATCTTCCCTGGGCCCAGTGGCTTCTGATGGCTATTAAAGGCCTCTGACAAAATGAACAACCGTGATATCATTTTTTGACTGTTGCAGGTAATGGGACACATGTCGTGTCGGACATGCCGGACTTGTCATGTCTTGTTGTCCGAAAGGTCGCCTGACCGGTGACTGCTCTGCTCGGGGCCTGGCGAATGCCAAAACTCCTTGATAGCTGATATGCAATAAACACCTCGGCACAATAAGTGGAGCACAACCACCGGGAGTTTGGGAAGTTTGTTGTGGCATGTTGCGACCCGCCAAGAAATACCGATCCACTGAACAAGTTGGCCTAGGTATGCTACCCAATTGTTGTGTTTTTGGTTGTTTGCTGGCAGTGTCATTCAAAAACCAGCTCATTTGTACTACTGTATTCGTTCAGTCTCCTGTGATGCGGGGTCTTGTTTCGGCTCTCAGCTTGTGGTTGCATGCAAAGAGTGGTTGTTTTGCAGGCTCAATGCCACCGTGGTTGCGACAAACATCAAAACACGGTATAAAGGTGTTGCTTTGGGGGGAGGCTTGTTGTTGGATCTTGTTAGCAAGCTAGTTGCAATCGAAGGGTGCAAGCAGCAAGGATGCACATGTGGAGACCGAGATTGACTCAGTTCTAAAACTAACATCAGTTTCACATACAATCACACTCAAAAATCCAACACTTCAAGTGCAACAGCACACCAATCAAGTCAGGTGTCCTTGACAATGCTGAAAAAATCTATCTACTTCAACTGACAGCTCAATTTGCTCTTGCTTGTGTCAAGAAAATTCAATGGTGGAACAGATTGCGGCGTCCCTCTAATGGCCTTGCAATCTGGCATTTGAAGATATTTGAAGACTAAGATTGACACTGTCCACATGATGAAGAATTGATAGATCCTCCTTGACGTTGATCAAGGTTTCACGCACGATGTTTCTTCCTGAGCTAGCGAAAAAGGACCGACAGGCGAATGCACCATGTTTTGACCAAGCAGCCTCATGTCATGCCCACACTGGACCTACTAGTCTGTGTCCCACGCCTTCAGCACTAGTCGCTAATGTTGGCATGTCGCTTTAGGAGTACTATATATATATATATATGTGAACAAATTGGAACTCTCTTGGCCTCGAACCTAT